TCAGCTTGTTTTCTGAGGCCGCCTTGAGCCTCCAGAACTTCCAGAAGTGGCGTGTACCGTGGAACCAGCAGGCACTTCAGAGCCAGATAGGTGGTAGCTCGAATCCCCACTCTGCCCTTTACAGGCTGCATGGCTTAGGCAGTCCTCTAGCCCCTCTGGGCCTCAGTTTTCTCATCTGTAAAAGGGGAAGACATACCACCAGCCAGAGAGGAACATGCATAAAAGACCCTGCCGTCCACTCCCCAATGGCCAGCCCTGACCCTCAGCCTCCCCATCCTTTCTCTCCAGCATGGCTGCCTCTCGCCTGCCTCCTCACACCCAGCTCTATTCTCTGGCACCTCCCTCTCACTTCCTGCCCTCCCCCTTGTACCCCCACACTCTCACCCTTTGAGTAACCCACCCCCAATGCGTTGCTCCACCCAATTACCAGTGCCCGGTGTAAACTGTGATGGAAGGGAGCCCCTGTTCTGCCACGAGTACCATGAGTAACCCCTGACCCCACCGTATAGGGGCCTCCAAGTCCCCATATTGTCTCCGGGGCCTCCAAGTCCCCATACTGTCTCCGGGGCTCAGTTCCCAACAGTCTTTTCTCCGGCGTGCACAGATTCCTGACTGGGCTTCGCAGCTTCATTCATTCAGTCAAGAGAGGGGAGAAGGTGGTTCTCCTGTCACTCGCCATGCTCAGGTATTCTATAGAGCACCCCACCTGTGCCACATGGTTTCATGAGGGGCCTATTCCTGTCACCAAGTCACAGACGAGGGAGCTGGAAGGGTAAGTGGGCTTCCCAAGACGCCAGTCGATGGGGAGCTGAGGTTTGAACCCCTATGTGTTTGCTTGCCCAGCTCAAGCCCTTTCCACCATCCTGAGCCACTCTCTCTATGCGTCTCCAACATACGCATTGTCTTGAATTCATCCTGTGACATGGAGAGGAGAGAGGGGAAACCAGAGAGAGTGATTTGCCCAAAGTCACTAGTCGGGGACTAGAACCCAGAGCTCGGGCCGTCTCCCAAGGCACTTGGTAGACAGGGGCCAGGTGTGTCCATTCTCATCTCCCTCCCCATGGTGCCTAGATGGAGCTATGCGCATGGTGAGAGTGACCTTGGCCCAAGAGCTAGAGACAGGATTGGGGGATCTGGACCCCAAAACAGAAGCCTCCACGGGGTGGTCTTAGAGGTGACCCACAGAGCTGGCAACGGTCCTTGTTCTGAAGTGCCTCTGTGGAGTTGAGAGGAGCCGAGAGAAGGCTTGCCTCAGCCTGAGCTGTGCTGCGTGATACCACCTCAAACCCTGGGGCAGGAAAGTCTCTGCCTCAGCATAACCAGAGCTTTGTTACTGCCACATCGCGTCCTGTCAGTCGCTTTGCTCGTGGGCACAGGGCCCAGAGGTATGAGCAGAGCTTGTGCCCAGCGTATGCCTTCAGCACTAGGCCTGGGAGAGAGAACCTGACCCTCCCTTCCCCCAGCCCGCAAAACAGGCAAAGGGGCCCTGAAATCTTAGACAAAAAATCCTACTGTCCCAGGTGTCAGGACGGGCCTGAAGTTCAGGTCCAACCACAGACTTATCACCCTCACAACTAGAAATGACCTTCGAAGCTACCAAAGGCCACCAAGCCCCAACCCGAGAGTGAAAGAATTGTCCCAGGTTACACAGCTCGGAGGCAGAGGAGTGAAGACTCAAACCCAGCTCCGGCACCCTAACCGAGGTACACACCGGCTCTCCCAGTGCTCTCCGGGAGCTGTCCTTCTCTGTCCTCGGCACACTGTCCACCTCCTCTCTAACTGGATCGCTGCCCCTCCCCCATTCCTGGAGGAGTACTGACCCATCTCTGAGGGTCCAGGGAGCTGCACAAAGGAAATTGCCAACCAAACCATCAACACCACAGACCAAGCACCCACTGCATGCCCAGCATTCAGGGTGTAGGGACTGGGAAAGATGTGACACAGTCTCTGGCTTTGGGACTCATCATTTGACCTAGAGAGAAAACTAGGGCGAGAATACAGCACCGGGTGCAGGAAACCCTGAGGCGCTCAGCCTGCGGGATGCAGCTGGGTGAGCGTTACCAACTCTGAGCCCCAGAAGGAAAGGAAGGGGCTGCCTCTGAGTTCCTCTTCAGAGGATGCCTGGGCAGCAACCAGGGGCAGCTGCAGCTGGGCCTCAGAAGATGTGACTTGGCAGAGAAGGGGGTGGGAGGGACATTTCCTCCATTACACCTGCTCCAAGGTTGCCAAGAGCAGAATCTCCAGGTCTGATGGGCGCAGAGCACTGACTCCCACCCAGCTGGCAACCTCCCAGGCAGTGGGTTCCTCTCCCCACCTGGCCTCTCTCCTCTCTCCTCCACCCGCCCCATCTCGGGCGTGAGGTCATCTCATTCCAGAGTTGGCCAGAAAATATCATTGGCCAGTACCACGCCTCGACTTGCTGTGATTCCCAAACCAGACTGATCACCAGTATCCCATCCAGCTCCCCGGGCAGCGCTCCGGCCCACTGCATCAGCATCACCGGGACGAACCTGGTCCTGGCAAAGGTCTGCTGATGACCAGCCAGGCCCTGAGAAGAGAGGGCTAGGGGAAGGAGTCCCCAGGGAGACAGAAGGGAGAAAGGAGGCTGCTGCTGGGCCCCCAGCCTCCGTGGGAGCCAGAGCCACAGCTTCAGGGCAGGATGAAAAGAGAAGAGCCTGAACAAGCCAGGACAGAGCAGCCTGGAATCAGGCAAGTGGGAGCCAGGTGTTGAGCAAGTCGTCCGGCCTCTCTGAGCCTCAGTGTCCTTCTCTGGGAATAGGAAGGCCAGCACTACTTCGCAGGCATGTTAGAGACGGAACGGAATAAATAAAGCACTGGCACAGACTGGTGGCCATATTGCATTTATTCACAGATATTTATGAAGCACCTACTATGTACACTCGGGTGCAAAAAAAAAAAAAACAAGAGAAGCCCTGGGGGCTTACCATCTGGTGGGGAGAGACGGGGCAGAAACAGTCCCGATATCATGCGCTCAGGCCGTGATGGGGTGAAGGGGCCAGCAGGGAGGGGCAGGCTCTCTGGGACTGAACATATGTCCCTGATCCAGGCTCTGGCCCCATGACTAGTCCCAGGATCTGGGTGAATCAGTGAGTGCCAAGCCCGCCTTAGGCAGTCCTCTACCCTCCCACATGTTTGACGTCCCCCTTCCCAAGGGTGGGAGCTGTCATGGCCCCTCACGATGGTCTGCACAACTAAGACACTCTCAGGAAAGTCCATGGCTGGGTGAAGCTCAGTTACGTCCTCAGCCCTGGGCCTGACGGCAGAACCGTCCTGGCTCAGGTCCCTCTGTTCTCCTCAGCCACCCACAGCCTAGGATGGCACAGGAGACCAGCACTGCACGGGGTGTGTGCCCCTAAGCTGCGGTCCGTCAGGGTTCCCACAGGCCCTCTGGACCTAGTCCCTCTGCCCCGTGTCCCCTACCTGCCCAGGCCTGGGCTGAGCACTTCTAGAAAGGGCGGGGCTTTCCCTCTCTGGGCCCAGGACCATCACCTGCAGAACCTTAACCCCGACACAGCAACCACTGCCTCTCCTGGCTTAGCTCTCAGCACACCTGGCTTCTCCCCCATGACTGCCTCTTGAGCCACACACATCCCCACCGCCCACCGCCAGTTTGTGGGCAGTGGCTTCTTTCTCAGCAGAGGGGTGACTTTCTTCCAACCTGACCCCTCCTCAGCTACGTCATCAGTAGGAGGGGACCTCTGGAGTCTGAGGGAGAGGGCCGCTGCCTGGGAGCCTGGGGTTGGGCAGGAGTTACGCTCCTGGCTCCTCTTCCCAGCACAGCCGCCTCCCCTTTGGCACCTGCTCCACCCCTAACGTGCCGGGCTCCAGGAAAGGGCTGAGTCACTGCTTCTCAGAGCCTCAGTGTCCCCATCTACACAATGGAGCGCCTCTTCCCAGAGCCTTCCTGCTTCCTGGGATGGTTGTTCAAATAAATGAGATCACCCTCCGGATGAGCCACCCTCAGCCCAGGGCTGGTTCTTCTGGTTGTGGCGGAATGTGCCGTGGTGGACTGGGGGGCACAGTGCCTCCCGCCTGCCCTCCGTCCTTGCCCTGACTGCTGTTCAGACGGCTGAGAGGCGCCAGCCTCTGGTGGAGCGGAACCTGCACAGCCAGCCTGCGTCGAGGGCTACAGTCACCGCTGCAGCCGCGGGCTCCCGGACACCAGCCAGCTCACTGCCCTCACCATCCCCAGGATCAGGGCCGGAAGGACTGTTAGCTGGGGTTCACTCTTCACTTATTGTGGCTTCTAAAGTTCAGAGACAGCTTGGGACCCGCCTAAAGTCCCCACACCCAGCTGCTCACTTCATACACAGCCACCCCTCCCAAGCCCCACCACTATGCCAGGCCTAGGGGGAAGGTGCGAATCTGATTGTTCCTGCCCACTCCCTGCCCCAAGCTCCACCCTCAGTCTCCAGGGACCAGGAGAGCTCAGGCTTTTGGATGCCCTGGTCTGATTCTGCAGCGCAGACGGTCCCAGGCTCATCAGTGAATTGGGGGGAAGAGACACTCCTTCTCTCATAACCCCTTCCATGTAACCCCACTTTTTTAAGAAAACCAGGAAAGCAGGCCTACCCCACCCAGTGGTTTCCGGATTTACTCAAAGGCAGACTTCCAGGTATCGGGCTCCTCCCCAACTGCTCATCACAGGCCACCAGAGTGAAAGGATCTGGGGCCCAGAGGGTCTTGGGAGTGGCTTGGGCAGGGCTGCCCCTGCCCGCTGCCCCCTTCCCCAGGATGCAGTGTCCCACTCACCCCCACCTCCGGGCTGCTGGAATCAAGTGAGGTAGTGCTGCTTCCCAGACACAACTCGCACCTGCCACCCCGCCCCCAGCATCCCCATCCTGAGCTGCAGCTGGCCATTTAAGGAAACATCCCTGAGGAAGGCCCCACCTTTCTCCCACAGCTGCCCGGGGCCCGGGGTCCACAGCCTTCTCTAGAGATACAGGTCTCCAGTTCCTACTCCTGGGATCAGATACTGGGGGCCCTAACCACCCAGCCTGCCTCCTCTCCCACCCACCCCATGCCTCTCCCAAAAGGACCTTGACTCCCGTCCTTGCCCACCCCCTGCCCCTCTCGGAGGAGGAACCTCGAGGAGCGATTGACTGGATGCATCATCCCTTGGGACTCTGGCTCCGTGACCTGAGCTCTTTTTGTCCATTTATGGATAAGAAATGAAGCTCAGCAAAGGGAATTGACTGCCCATGGTCACGGACCTACTTATAAAACAAGAAGTGGCCACTTAAGACCCCCCATACGCTGACCTCACCCTGGGTCTGGCACTGGACCACCCTCCCTCGGATCACCGGCCCTTGGGAGATGTGAAGCCCCCACACATACAAGCTCTGCCCAGACCTTCTCTTTACTCTGGTCTAAGATGACCCTGACCCCTAAGTCAGTGACAGTGGGTGTCACCAGACTCCTTCCCCTGCTCCCATCAGCTCCTCCCCACCCCCGCCATTCGCCCATCCTTCATGAGGGTCCACCTCACAACCAGGACGCATTCCACATCTGAGTCAACAAGCTTTATTGGTCAGGCCGTGGGGTATAGGAAAGGCACTTGAAAGCCGGGGGGGCGTTGAGGCTGGGAAGGCCAGAGGCTGCAGGGCTGATGAGGGGCCCTGGGGGGGCTGGACAGGGGAGCAGAGTCCTTAGTGGGTGGTCTTGTGGACCTGCTCGCGGGAGGAGATGACCTTGCCGTCCTGGACCTCTTCCACAATGGTGCGCACCTGGCGGGTGGTCACAGCTGCAAGAGACAGACACTCGGAGGTGGGCAGGGGCCGAGAGACCCCGGCTCAGCCCCCAGCCGCTGAGTGGAGCCAGCTCTCTCCCCTATAGACGCTCGGTGTCCATGCCTCCGTCGGCCCCTCAGCGTCACACCCACACCTGTGTCCCTCCTGCCCTCGCCTCTTTCTCCCTTCCATCTTGTCCCTATGCTGGGGCCCCTGTATGAGTCCTACTTCCCAGAGGGGTGGAGTGATGCTGACCCCCACGTCCTCCAGGCCTCATGCACTCTGGGTGCTCCCCGAAGTGGTGTCTCTCTCCCTGTCTCTGCAGTTCTCAGGGTGTGGACATGCTCCTGTCTCTCCCCATCAGACTGGACTCTCCAGGGTAAGAACCTGGTCCCCATTACCCCCATAGACCAGGTACCCCAGGGCTAGGATCTCATCTTCCCTATGAGGCTGAGATCTGGAGGACAAGGACCAAGTCCCTTTCTCCCATCAGACTGGAGCCCAGAGACAGCACTACTTTTGCTCACCTGTAGGGCCTCCGAACAAAGATCGGGAGGCCATGTCCCTTTCTCCCCAACAGATAAGAGTCTCCAGAGCTAGAACCATATCTCCCCCATCAGACTAGGAACTCCGGGCTAAGGGCCAGCTCCCTGCCCCGCCCCCCATCAGACTAGGCAGTGTCTCCTTCTTCTTATTCTCCTAAGCATCAGCCCTGAGGCCTAAAGATCAGCCCTCATTTCCTGGAGCTCCTGGGGACCCTCCTCCAGCAAGGTACAGGTAGGTGATACCCCTCCCTCAGCTACCAAGATCCTTACGTTCTTTGGGCTTGTACTGAGTCAGGCTGCAAAGAAAACAGAGAGGGGAGATTAGTTGTGGGTCTGAGAGCCCCACGTCCACCCCTGGCCCAGAACCCTGGACCCAGGCCCCCAACCCTGGACCCAGGCCCCCACGCACTGGGCATCCTCGCCCTCCAGCAGGCGGCGGTAGGTGGCGATCTCCTGCTCCAGCCGTGTCTTCACGTCCAGCAGGATCTTGTATTCCTGGTTCTGCTGCTCCATGTCACAGCGCAGCTGGCCCAGCTGCTCCTCCACGCTGCCTATCAGCCCCTGGATCTGGGACAGCTGCACACAGTAGCGGTTCTCGGTCTCCGCCAGACTGCCTTCCAGGGATGCTTTCTGCAGGAAGGTGGGAGGAGCAGGGGTCAGCAATGGTGGTCAATGTCCCTCCGGGGCCCTGAGCCCACCCCCGGCCTGGCAGCAGCCGTACCATGCTGAGTTGGGACTGCAGCTCGATCTCCAAGGCCTGCACCGTGCGCCGGAGCTCGGAGATCTCGCTCTTGCCGCTCTGCACCAGCTCGCTGTTGGTGGCTTCAGCTCCTCTGTCTGCAGACAGGACCCAGGACAGTGCAACGTGAGCCTGGGATCCCTTCTCCAAGTCAGACGACCGCCATGCCCTTTATATGCTCAGCCCAAGGCCCATTCTGTGCCCAGACAGGCACCTGGGGCTCTTCCCGCTCCCCATAATACCCCTGGCCTTGACCTTCCCTGGACCACCTGACCGGGGCAGTGCTTTCTCACCAGCTTCCCACTTCCCAAAGCCCAAAAATCTTTGAAATGATGTTAATTTTATCTTTAATCCCTACAAGTGGAAAGCACAGGAATAAGAAACTTGAGAACTTTCCAGGAGAGTAGTAGCCTGGCCCCTTGTGCTAGTTCCTGAGGGTAAGAAGCTCCTGGGGTCTGAGTGGAGCTGCTCGGGGCTCCCCAGCCACCCCCCAGATCCTAGCTTTAGCCAAGTCCCAAGCCTGTAGATGCAGTGGGTGAGCCTGGGGTCCATGCAGCTCGCCAAGGAGAGGGAGCCCCCAAGATGCCAGGCACTGGGCTTGCCGTCTGGACTCGGTCCTTACACCCATCTCTTGGAAGAGGCCTCCGGCCCACGGCAGCCCCCACCTTGCTGAAGAACCAGTCCTCGGCGTCCTTGCGGTTCTTCTCGGCTATCTTCTCGTACTGGTCACGCATCTCGTTCAGGATGCGGCTCAGGTCCACGCCAGGGGCGGCGTCCATCTCCACGTTGATCTCTCCGCCCACCTGGCCTCGCAGGGCGCTCATCTCCTGTGGAGGAGGGGGACTGTGGCGTGGGCATCCGTGCCTGTCCTGCTCTCCCACTCCCACACAAGCTCTCCGGGCCCCTCCCAAAGACCCCTTTCTCGTTCCGCCTGTCTTGTAGCCTCTGACCCTCCCAATGACTTTTATGCACCTGCTCTGTATGGGCTTTGCCTCCACCATCAGACTGGGGGCTCCCTGAGGGCAGGTTCTGTGTCTCTCCCATTAGACTGAGGGCTTCCAAAAATCTCATTCTTAGGCCTGTGCCTGCAGAATATCCCCTCTAATTTCCAAACTTTTACATAGGACCCAGATTCAAGGGTTTGAGCTGGGAGAAGGAAGAGACCTCCCCGCTTATCCCCTGTCCTCCTGAGGGAGGCCAGGGCAGGCAGAAGAGGTCTCTCTGGGCCCCTGGGAGGTTCCCCAGATTCAGGGAAGCTGGAAGGAGGCTGCTCTGCTGCTTGGCTCCACAGACAGGGCAGCCCTGTAAGGTGACCAGCCCTGAAGCACCTGCTCTGTACTCTTCCCTCCGTCTCAGCCTTGGCCCCGCCCCAGAGCCCTGCCTCCCACTCCACGGCCTCTTCGACCTGCTCCCCCTCCCTCTCACCTCCTCGTGGTTCTTCCTCAGGTAGGCCAGCTCCTCCTTCAGGTTCTCGATCTGCATCTCCAGGTCGGCTCTGGCCAGGGTCAGCTCGTCCAGCACCCTGCGCAGGCCGTTGATGTCGGCCTCCACGCTCACACGCAGGGCCTGCTCTGTCTCAAACCTGAAAAGGAAACCAGAAGCTTCAGTTTTGATGCTCGGACTGGCAGGTCCAGGTCCTGGCCAGCACCTTGACTTCACCAGGGCACTAAGGGCTTGTGAGAAATGATGAGAAGATGGAGTGGAAGCAAATCCAGCCCCAGGGCCCTGAGACCATGCAGGGCAAGGCCCAACCCCGCCCAACTTTCTAATTCTCTCCTCTCTGCCTTCTGCCTCCCCTCCCTCTCTTCCATCATCTGCCTAAGCCCAGCGACCTTCAGAATTTGCTGCACCCTGGACAAAGAGGTAGACGCCCCCACCCTGGCTCCTGGCCCATGCCACAAGCAGCCAAGGAGTCCTAGGGTGGAGAGGGGTGCCCCCCAGTTCCTTTCTAGCTCACTGGCAAAGGCTCACTTGGTGCGGAAGTCATCAGCAGCCAAACGGGCATTGTCGATCTGCAACAGGATACTGGCGTTGTCCACGGTGGCCGTGAGGATCTGGGGAGGTAGGAGAGTAGTCAGGTCACTGGGTAAGGGTAGCTCAGCCCAGGTCAGGGTTCTGGGATGGGTCTTCCTGCCTGGAGGCCAGGAGGTGGCTGTCTTCTCCAAGAAGGCTCCCTTCCCACCCAGCCTTTCCCTTTTACTCTGCTGCAATTGTTGACAAAGGTGGAGCCAGCAGGAGTCTGATGCGCTGAAACTTGCCTCCTGTTCCCCCAGGACCTACCTCCCCCGACACAGACCCCCATGCCAGGCTCTGCCTTAAACCAGAGCAGGGAGTTCTCAGGCTGAGAATTCAGGACAGCCAGAAAATGGGAGGGTGCCCACGGGACAGAAGCTGTTCCAGAACCCCAGAAAGCAGAGGGGATGCGGGCAACCCCCTCATTTTACAGCTGGGGAGATGGTGTCTCTGAGGGGCTCCCCCAAGAGGAAAGCTAAAAGAGACCTCACGGAAGAGTAGTTTCAAAACAGAAGTCATGAGCCCCGCTAAGCGCTGGCCTGGGGATCCAGCAGACAGCAGTCCCCTCTCCCCAGGTTTGCTCAGCCCCATTCTTGAGGGGACAGCAGGAGGGATGGGGAAGGCAGAAAAATCCCTAAGTAAAGCTCACAAGAGGCCTCCTAAGGTCCTACTCCCTCTCTTCTGCCTCCAGCTCCTAGCAAGTGTCATCAGGTACTCACTCAGACCCCTTACCCCACCATTGCCCCAAATCCCCACGTCACTCCAAGGAGAGAGATGCCCATGTACCTGGCAGCCTCATGAGCCTAGCCCCCCACAAGCGGCCACTTGCCTTATCCTATCACTACACGAGGTGACAAGAAGCTCTGCCATGAGGAAACTGATGCTCAAAGGAGCTCCATGAGGCCTGATTGTCCCTGACCCAGCCCGCTGCCCCCTGAAAAGGGTGACATAAGTACATCGCAGCCCCAAGGTGGGTTCCCAAAGGCCGAGCCAAAGCCAAGCTGTCCTTGGCTTCCTGAGGCCGATGCCAGCCCCCCAGGCTGGACTCCAGGTCATGGGCAGGAGATGGGGAAGAAGTCATGCCCCACAGGCCCCTCCCACCAGCAGGCCCTGCCTTGTTCTTCAGGTCCTCGATGGTCTGGTAGTAGTGGCTGTAGTCGCGGGCGGGGCCCGGGGCCTGCTTCTGGTACCAGTCGCGGATCTTCACCTCCAGCTCCGTGTTGGCCTCCTCCAGGGCACGCACCTTGTCCAGGTAGGAGGCCAGGCGGTCGTTGAGGTTCTGCATGGTGGCCTTCTCACCTCCTGCCAGCAGCCCATCAACTCCTCCAAAGCTGCCGCCATAGCCACCACCAGAGCCAAAGCTGTAGCAGCTGGAATAGCTGCTGCCCCCGAGGGCCCCGCCCAGGCCACTGGCAGCCCCCAGCCTGCAGGAGCCGGCACCCAGGCCACCAGACAGCCGGCAGGAGGTGCGGGACGAGCCTCCGCCCAGGCCCGATGAACCCTTGATGGAGCTGGAGGAAGTGAACTGGCGGATGGTGGTGGTCATGGTGGCGGCGGCAGGAGGTGGGCGAGCACAGAGCGAATGAGCTCTAGAGGAGAGAGGTCTGAGGTGCGTGTCACTGCTGGGGCTCGCCCGCCTCCTTTATAGGCCGACAAGTGGGCGGGCACAACGATTACAACAGGCTCCATCCTCTGTTTCCATTCCCTTGGGCTTTCATCACTGCTGGCCGCCTGCCAGCTCCCAGGTGGCTGTGGGCCCCCCTCCTCCCACCACCGGAGCTTTGCCTCACTCCAAACCCCATGCTGGGTGTCTGCATGTGTGTGTGCGCGTGTCTCTGGTCCCGGGCTCATCACCTGTGATTCAGGCGGGCCCTCCAGCTATGCTTTCCCATGACCTAATACGGAGAAGAGGAGAGGCAGGACGTCACCGTCACCAGGCCCTCCCAGGCAGCTGCCACCCCAGCCTGGCCCATCTGGACCCTGCGTCTGGTGGGGAAACAGGTTGGAGAACCAGGCAGCCCCAGCCTGAGGTTACTCTCCTTCATGAGACACTGCTTCACACACAGTCCTGGCCTGGGGCTGGGTACTGGGGAGACAGTGAGAACCGAGCCCCAATCCCACCCTGAAAACTGGACCTAAACCTACCTCAGATGATCATCCCATTTTACAGATAAGGAAACTGGGGCTTGAGAGGGATAGTGTCCCACCGCCCCATCTACCTGCAATGTTAGTATATGTACTGCTGAAGTGAGCACCTCACCTACCTGCAAGCCTGGGCTGGCAGGGCTTTACCTACCGGTCATCCCACGTGCCACAGCACCAGACCCGTCCCTGGGACACCAGGCACACTGGCCCCTCTGCACAGCCTTGACCCCAAGGAAGCACGTCTGGGGTAATGATTCTATCTGGCCAGTTTTCTGAACTGCCACATCCCTAGACCCCCTGGCGACCCAGACAAAT